GCTTTGCATTGCTCTGCATTGCTTTGCGTTGCTTTGCGTTGCGTGGTGTTGCTCTGCGTCGCTTTGCTTTGCATTGCATACGCTGCACCACATCGGTTGTACCACATCGGTTGCACCACCTAGATTGCACGGCATAGAGTGCAAGGTATCATTGTTTGGGGTCCACGCTGGCTAACATGTGTTGATCCTCCGCAATTCTCGAAGCACTTCTGCCTGCGCCGAAGTCGTTGAAGCAGAGGTGTCCCTGCTGCGCAACCTCCATCCCTAAGTGATGGCATCGAGGGCGCAGGGCGAGAAAGCTCGCCACTCAGACGAAAATGCCCGGGGTGATAATGCCGGAGAAAAGAAAACAAGGCGATGCAGTACGGCCTTTCTGAGGGGCAACGGTAGGGGGGGGCACTGGCACAGGGGGGAATCATCGACCTGGAATCGGCGATACATCGCCTACAGATACGCGATAGGCCCCCGACAGCGAATTCGTACGTTCCTGGGCGGGGTGGGACTGTCACACCCCTATCAGCAATCAATGGGCGATTGGGGGTCGATGCATCCTCCCCTCTCCCGTTGCCCCTGACTGTCGTTGTGGAGGCTTACCAGCACCCCACCACCGGCTCGGCTGATCTCAGTTCAGAACTGGCTCAGGCCCACCTTGCCAGTCAACAGCTCCGCAGACAGGATGCCGATGGCCGCGAACATCGCGAAGCGACCGTTGTTAAGCTCCTTGTGGCGCATGTCCTCGTCGTAGCCGAAGATGTTGGACAGGCCCAGGGGGTCGCCGAAGTTGCCCACCTCCTTCTTCGGGTCCTGCGTCCACACCGCGAGCTCCATGGCGCCAGAGAACAGAAACAGCGCCACGAAACCGTACGTGCCCGGCGCCGTCGTCACCGGCGCCCACGCCCGCAGGCACCGACTCGAAGCCCGGGAACTGGATGTACTGCTGCGCCACGAACCCCAGAGCCGCCATCATGGCCACGCGTCCGTGCTTGAGCTCCGCGGTGCGCAGGTTGCGGAAGCCCTCCTCTGGGAGGGACAACAGACACGGATACCGCTGCTCCCCCGACCTTTCCAGGGCTGCGCTCTGACCAGAAATCCGAGGAGACTCCAGCCGTGGTGACGGGGCTGCAGGACGAGTAGCCGTATCGGCATCTGTTCCTCCCCTGAGCCTCGTCGCCCACCTTGCTGAACCCGGCCGGGTCGAAGAAGCCCAGGGGGGCCATGGCGCCCAGCTGCGTCGCTGGGTCGAACGGCGGCGGCGCCGGCGGCGCCTCGGCGGCGCGCCGCGCCGCGCGCGCCGGCCGGCGCGCGGCGATCGCGAGTGCGGCCGCCGCGCCCACCGGGAGGGCAGCGCCCAGGCTGCCGCCGTTGGCCGCGCCTTTCTGCGCCGCGGTGGCCCTCAGCGCCGGCGGCGCGGTGGTCGGCGCGCGCTGGCTGACCTGGAGGCCCGCCGAAGCGGGGGAGGCGGCACCGACAAAGGTCAGGGACATCGTGCAACCTTGCCTAGCAGAGCGGTGCCAAGCACGCGGGGCAGTGCTGCAAGAGTATCGCCTGGAGCAAACTTGAACCAAAACGGCCCGGAGGGTCTCGAAGATGGCCATTGATCGGTCCAAGATGCCCAGAGAAGGCGCAAGATACCTCCAAGAAGGCCCAAGATGGCCCCATCACGGCCCAAGATGGCCCCAAGACGGCCCAAGTGGTCCCCAAGACGCCCCCAAGACGCCTCAAGAAGGCTCCAGGTCACGCAAGAGGGTCTCGAGAGGCGAAATCAATGATGTTACTAAGGTTTTCCCATGGTTTTCGAATTCTCGACTTCTGGGACTGAAGAGCATCCGAAACGGCGCCAAAGCCCCCAAGACCAACCAAAGAAAGCACAAAAGGACCCCCAGGGCCCCAAGACGACCTCAGACGGCGGCCAAGATAGCATCAAGACAGCCCAAAAAGGCCCCAAGAGGGCCCCAAGACGGCCCAGAGAGGGCCTCCAGACGGCCTCTGAAGGCGACAGACGGCAAGATCACCCTAAGACAACCCAAGAGAGTCCCACTATGAATGGCACCAGAAGGCCCCAAAAAGTTCCAGAAGGCAGGAGACAACTCCCAGACAGCCCCAAGATTTGCTCAAGACGGCCCCAGAGTGCCCTGTCCCAGCGTTCCCCTATGTAGTCGTTCCCCGCTGCTCGACATTTCACGATTCACGACACAGGCGCTTCCACCAGGCACGGGGCGGCTGTTACTCGCCGTAGGCGTCTTCGATATCCGCCATGCCCCATTAGCCTGCCGGAGGGGTGAAAGGGGCGCCGAATTGCACAACAGAGAGAAGCTCTGGGGCCACGCGGAAACCTGGGTAAAACCGGGGAACCAACCAGAATCTGCACAACGCCCACCTCCAAGACGGCGAACAGGGCCCAACAGGTTTCTAAGTCGGCGACAAAAAGGTCCAAGATGGCCTCCAAGATGCACCTTAGACGGTCACGATGGCCCCAACATAACCCGAGACGGTCCAAAACGCTCACTTGGGGGGTCTCTTGGATCGTCTTGGGTCGCATTCGGGGCCCACGCGAGAGGCCCAAGTCTGTGTAAACCCGTTGGGTTTTCAATGATCGTCCTCCCTCCCCCTCGTCCCTCCTGCGTCGCTGACGGCTTAACGTTACCTGCGGTTCCACGACGCGCGCCGGATCTTCCACGGCGTACCCAGATTGTTCTGGTGATCTCTGGCTCTGCCCAGAGCCATCCGAGGCTGCATCGGGTCATGCCAACCCGCATCGACTCATCTGGCCGGATTCCCGCAAGCCGATTGGAGAAGAGCCGCCAAGCCCTTGGAGGCTCCCTACAGTCGAGGTCGATTGGGGAGGACACGCGAGAGGGCACACGACCCTTCCGAGGGCCACACTGCCATAGGAATGTAGAAGGCATGGGTCACGAAACTCAGGACACAAGGGTACCCTTGATTTGGCCGTGGCCGACCTGTTAATCACCCTCGACTGTATCCCCCTCCGCGTCCTTCGCTCTCCTCCTCCCGCCTCGCCCTGGCCTTGGGGTCGGGGGCGGGCGGCGTCCCAAACCGCCCCAAGAGGGGTCCAAGAGTACCTCTACATCAGGAACCCGGGAGGCCAAGGTCACCGAGGTTCCTCCGTTGGTTCCATGGTTCGCATTCTCGCCTATCTGGGCCTCGGAGAGCGCCAAGACGGCCCGAGAGGCACGATCGCCTCGAGACGGCCCAACAGAAGAGGCTCCCAAGAGGGCCCCAAGACGTTCCCAAGCAAGATAACCCCAAGGCGGGCCCCAGGACGGCCCAAGAGAGAGAGGCCCCAGGACGGCCCAAGAGAATGCACCTCAAGACTGCCACAGAGAGCCCCGAGGTGGCCCAAGAGAGCCCCGATACGCCCACCGAGAGACCCAAAGGCCCAGAGAGAGAGAGAGAGCCCCAAGAGGACCGCAGAGCGCCCCGTTCCCCAATGCTCCACCAGTGGCTGCCCCAAGCCCTGGCGGGACGAGAAGTCCACTAGCATGGCCGCACTTTTTCGTTACCGCATAACGCCCAACCGGATTCTCTCCAGCTTCGGAAGAGCCTGGAGGACGACGAGTGCACGAGGAGAAAGAGGAAGCCGAGGCCGAAGCGAAAGCAACGACGACCCGAAAGCGCAGAGACTACGGAAGGCTGCTGAACTGAGGAACGCAACAGGAGGAAACGAGGCCCCTTTCTGGCCCCCAAGAAGCGCCTGCGTGCACGAGGAGTGATAGAGCACCGGCCATGAGACGGAGCTCAAGGAACAGCGAAACCCCTCCGAACTCAAAACGGTCCTCATATTTCGGCGTCTTGGCTGCAGCATGGCCGCACGTTGGCTCGACGTTTCCGCCACGCCGCGCTTCCACAGGGGGGCAGTGGGCGGCGGTGACGTCTGCCGCAGGCGCCCTCGACCCGCCGCCCCCGTAGCCTGCGGAGGGGCACTGGCGTGCTGGCCGCTGCGGCTCCTCTTGGCGGCTCCACGGCCGTGGGCCGGGGGATCCGCGGATCTGGCGCGGTGGCGCCAGATCCGGCCGGTTGACTGCGCGATCATGACCGAAACGCCTCCCACATCGAGTCCGAGTAGATGGGGTCGCAGGGTCGCGCCGCATCGGCGACGCACCGGCGCCAGTGTCGCCAGATGTGGCGACGGAACACGCCGCTAGTCCACGCGCCTGGAATCCATGACTGCGTCTCCTCGTCGCTGGTGAGTGAGCTACACTGGCGGTCTGGCCAGCTCGTGGCCGCCCGTCGCCGCCTGTCGCCGCTGTGCATGGCAATCGCATTGCTTTCCATTGCGTTGCAATGCTTTGCTTTGTATTGCATTGCATTGCATTGCTTTGCATTGCTTTGCATTGACCTGCATTGCTTTGCGATGCTCTACATTGCTCTGCATTGCTTTGCGTTGCTTTGCATTGCGTGGTGTTGCTCTGCGTCGCTTTGCTTTGCATCACATATACTGCACCACATCGGTTGTACCACATCGGTTGCACCACCTAGATTGCACGGCATAGGAGTGCAAGGTATCATTGTTTGGGGTCCACGCTGGCTAACATGTGTTGATCCTCCGCAATTCTCGAAGCACTTCTGCCTGCGCCGAAGTCGTTGAAGCAGAGGTGTCCCTGCTGCGCAACCTCCATCCCTAAGTGATGGCATCGAGGGCGCAGGGCGAGAAAGCTCGCCACTCAGACGAAAATGCCCGGGGTGATATGCCGGAGAAAAGAAAACAAGGCGATGCAATACGGCCTTTCTGAGGGGCAACGGTAGGGGGGGGACTGGCACAGGGGGGAAGCATCGACCTGGAATCGGCGATACATCGCCTACAGATACACGATAGGCCCCCGACAGCGAATTCGTACGTTCCTGGGCGGGGTGGGACTGTCACACCCCTATCAGCAATCAATGGGCGATTGGGGGTCGATGCATCCCCCCCTCTCCCGTTGCCCCTGACTGTCGTTGTGGAGGCTTACCAGCACCCCACCACCGGCTCGGCTGATCTCAGTTCAGAACTGGCTCAGGCCCACCTTGCCAGTCAACAGCTCCGCAGACAGGATGCCGATGGCCGCGAACATCGCGAAGCGACCGTTGTTAAGCTCCTTGTGGCGCATGTCCTCGTCGTAGCCGAAGATGTTGGACAGGCCCAGGGGGTCGCCGAAGTTGCCCACCTCCTTCTTCGGGTCCTGCGTCCACACCGCGAGCTCCATGGCGCCAGAGAACAGAAACAGCGCCACGAAACCGTACGTGCCCGGCGCCGTCGTCACCGCGCCCACGCCCGCAGGCACCGACTCGAAGCCCGGGAACTGGATGTACTGCTGCGCCACGAACCCCAGAGCCGCCATCATGGCCACGCGCCCGTGCTTGAGCTCCGCGGTGCGCAGGTTGCGGAAGCCCTCCTCTGGGGGGGACAACAAACACGGATACCGCTGCTCCCCGACCTTTCCAGGGCTGCGCTCTGACCAGAAATCCGAGGAGACTCCAGCCGTGGTGACGGGGCTGCAGGACGAGTAGCGGTATCGGCATATGTTCCTCCCCTGAGCCTCGTCGCCCACCTTGCTGAACCCGGCCGGGTCGAAGAAGCCCAGGGGGGCCATGGCGCCCAGCTGCGTCGCTGGGTCGAACGGCGGCGGCGCCGGCGGCGCCTCGGCGGCGCGCCGCGCCGCGCGCGCCGGCCGGCGCGCGGCGATCGCGAGTGCGGCCGCCGCGCCCACCGGGAGGGCAGCGCCCAGGCTGCCGCCGTTGGCCGCGCCTTTCTGCGCCGCAGTGGCCCTCAGCGCCGGCGGCGCGGTGGTCGGCGCGCGCTGGCTGACCTGGAGGCCCGCCAAAGCGGGGGAGGCGGCACCGACAAAGGTCAGGGACATCGTGCAACCTTGCCTAGCAGAGCGGTGCCAAGCACGCGGGGCAGTGCTGCAAGTGTATCGCCTGGAGCAAGCTTGAACCAAAACGGCCTGGAGGGTCTCGAAGATGGCCATTGATCGGTCCAAGATGCCCAGAGAAGGCGCAAGATACCTCCAAGAAGGCCCAAGATGGCCCCATCACGGCCCAAGATGGCCCATAGACGGCCCAAGTGGTCCCCAAGACGCCCCCGAGACGCCTCAAGAAGGCTCCAGATCACGCAAGAGGGCCTCGAGAGGCGAAATCAATGATGTTACTAAGATTATCCATGGTTTTCGAATTCTCAACTTCTCGGTCTGAAGAGCATCCGAAACGGCGCCAAAGCCCCCAAGACCAACCAAAGAAAGCACAAAAGGACCCCCAGGGCCCCAAGACGACCTCAGACGGCCAATAAAGCATCAAGACAGCCCAAAAAGGCTCCAAGAGGGCCCCAAGACGGCCCAGAGAGGGCCTCCAGACGGCCTCTGAAGGCGACAGACGGCAAGATCACCCTAAGACAACCCAAGAGAGTCCAACTATGAATGGCACCAGAAGGCCCCAAAAAATTCCAGAAGGCAAGAGACAACTCCCAGACAGCCCCAAGATTTGCTCAAGACGGCCCCAGAGTGCCCTGTCCCAGCGTTCCCCCATGTAGCCGTTCCCCGCCGCTCGACATTTCACGATTCACGACACAGGCGCTCCACCAGCACAGGGGGCGTGGGGACGGGGGGGGTGGGCCGGTCTGAGCCGTTGCCTGGAGCGTCTTCGTATCGACCACGCATAGCCTGCCGGAGGGGTGAAAAGGGCGCCGAATTGCACAACAGAGAGAGGCTCTGGGGCCACGCGGAAACCTGGGTAAAACCGGGGAACCAACCAGAATCTGCACAACGCCCACCTCCAAGACGGCGAAGAGGGCCCAACATTGTCTCCAAGTCGGCGCAAAAAGGTCCAAGATGGCCTCCAAGATGCACCTTAGACCTTAGACGGTCACGATGGCCCCAACATAACCAGAGACGGTCCAAAACGCTCACTTGGGGGGTCTCTTGGATCGTCTTGGGTCGCATTCGGGGCCCACGCGAGAGGCCCAAGTCTGTGTAAACCTGTTGGGTTTTCAATGATCGTCCTCCCTCCCCCTCGTTCCTCCTGCGTCGCTGACGGCTTAACGTTACCTGCGGTTCCACGACGCGCGCCGGATCTTCCACGGCGTACCCAGATTGTTCTGGTGATCTCTGGCTCTGCCCAGAGCCATCCGAGGCTGCATCGGGTCATGCCAACCCGCATCGACTCATCTGGCCCGACTCCCGCAAGCCGATTGGAGAAGAGCCGCCAAGCCCTTGGAGGCTCCCTACAGTCGAGGTCGATTGGAGAGAACACGCGAGAGGGCACACGACCCTTCCGAGGGCCACACTGCCATAGGAATGTAGAAGGCATGGGTCACGAAACTCAGGACACAAGGGTACCCTTGATTTGGCCGGGCCGACCTGTTAATCACCCTCGACTGTATCCCCCTCCGCGTCCTTCGCTCTCCTCCTCCCGCCTCGCCCTGGCCTTGGGGTCGGGGGCGGGCGGCGTCCCAAACCGCCCCAAGAGTGGTCCAAGAGTACCTCTACATCAGGAACCCGGGAGGCCAAGGTCACCGAGGTTCCTCCGTTGGTTCCATGGTTCGCATTCTCGCCTGTCTGGGCCTCGGAGAGCCCAAGACGGCCCGAGAGGCACGATCGCCTCGAGACGGCCCAACAGAAGAGGCTCCCAAGAGGGCCCCAAGACGGTCCCAAGCAAGATGACCCAAAGGCGGGCCCCAGGACGGCCCAAGAGAGAGAGCCCCAGGACGGCCCAAGATAATGCACCTCAAGACTGCCACAGAGAGCCCCGAGGTGGCCCAAGAGAGCCCCGATACGCCCACCGAGAGACCCAAAGGCCCAGAGAGAGCGAGAGAGCCCCAAGAGGACCGCAGAGCGCCCCATTCCCCAATGCTCCACCAGTGGCTGCCCCAAGCCCGTGCGGGAACGAGAAGTCCACTAGCATGGCCGCACTTTTTCGTTACCGCATAACGCAGCCCAACCGCTTCTCTCCAGCTTCGGAAGAGCCTGGAGGACGACGAGTGCACGAGGGAGATGAGGAAGCCGAGGCCGAAGCGGAAGCAACGACGACCCGAAAGCGCAGAGACTACGGAAGGGCTGCTGAACTGAGGAACGCAACAGGAGGAACGAGGCCCCTTTCTGGCCCCCAAGAATCTAAGAAGCGCCTGCGTGCACGAGGAGTGATAGAGCACCGGCCATGAGACGGAGCTCAAGGAACAGCGAACCCCCTCCGAACTCAAAACGGTCCTCATATTTCGGCGTCTTGGCTGCAGCATGGCCGCACGTTGGCTCGACGTTTCCGCCACGCCGCGCTTCCACAGGGGGGCAGTGGGCGGCGGTGACGTCTGCCGCAGGCGCCCTCGACCCGCCGCCCCCGTAGCCTGCGGAGGGGCACTGGCGTGCTGGCCGCTGCGGCTCCTCTTGGCGGCTCCACGGCCGTAGGCCGGGGGATCCGCGGATCTGGCGCGGTGGCGCCAGATCCGGCCGGTTGACTGCGCGATCATGACCGAAACGCCTCCCACATCGAGTCCGAGTAGATGGGGTCGCAGGGACGCGCCGCATCGGCGACGCACCGGCGCCAGTGTCGCCAGATGTGGCGACGGAACACGCCGCTAGTCCACGCGCCTGGAATCCATGACTGCGTCTCCTCGCCGCTGTTGAGTGAGCTACACTGGCGGTCTGGCCAGCTCGTGGCCGCCCGTCGCCGCCTGTCGCCGCTGTGCATGGCAATCGCATTGCTTTCCATTGCTTTGCAATGCTTTGCTTTGCATTGCATTGCACTGCATTGCTTTGAATTGCTTCGCGATGCTCTACATTGCTCTGCATTGCTTTGCGTTGCTTTGCATTGCGGGGTGTTGCTCTGCGTCGCTTTGCTTTGCATTGCGTATACGGCACCACATCGGTTGTATCACATCGGTTGCCCCACCTAGATTGCACGGCATAGAGTGCAAGGTATCATTGTTTGGGGTCCACGCTGGCTAACATGTGTTGATCCTCCGAAATTCTCGAAGCACTTCTGCCTGCGCCGAAGTCGTTGAAGCAGAGGTGTCCCTGCTGCGCAATTTCCATCCCTAAGTGATGGCATCGAGGGCGCAGGGCGAGAAAACTCGCCACTCAGACGAAAATTCCCGGGGTGATAATGCCGGAGAAAAGAAAACAAGGCGATGCAATACTGCTTTTCTGAGGGGCAACGGAAGGGGGGGGACTGGCACAGGAGGGAAGCATCGACCTGGAATCGGCGATACATCGCATACAGATACACGATAGGCCCCCGACAGCGAATTCGTACGTTCCTGGGCGGGGTGGGACTGTCACACCCCTATCAGCAATCAATGGGCGATTGGGGGTCGATGCATCCCCCTCCCGTTGCCCCTGACTGTCGTTGTGGAGGCTTACCAGCACCCCACCACCGGCTCGGCT